TTTTTTTTTTTTTTTTTCTAAACAAAGCACATTTCATTAAAACAAACTTTAAGAGAGTTACATCAATGCATCATGCTCAATAATGTGTGAAACAAAGTTCGAAGGATCATTCCACCACTACCAGGTTATTGAGATGCCATGAATTCCTAGCTAGACAATGTGCAACTGAGTTAAATGTGCGACGTTCATGCCTTACATCAATATTCTGGAATCTATTCACTAATTGTCGAATCTCATGTATCAAGTTCCCCCAAATGGATAGAGATTCATCATGTACTTTTGTCACTTCTTGGACCACCAACAACGAATCACTTACTACTTGTAAATTCTGGATGGACAAAGGTAAGCAAATCTGTAAACCTCTTAGCATCGCTAGAAGCTCTGCCTCTATTGGGTCCATACTACCCTTTTCTGGTTTACTTGCTCAAAAAATCATCTTACCTGTTGCATCCCGGAGAACCATCCCAATCCCATATCTGCATTGATCCTCAAATAAAGCCCCATCAACATTAAGCTTTAGGGCCCCTTCCGGTGGAGGGCTCCACCATTCTCTGCTATGGGTCCCTTGCTATTTCTGCTTCTGTGCACATTTAAATTCACCAACAATTGTAGGGGCATGATCAATGGCCATCTATGGAGTAAATATCTTGTGTTAAAAAATGAACCGGTTCCTCCTATACCACATTCCCCACAGGCATGAGAGTAGTTCCTCTAGCTCACCATGAAAGTTCCTGTTTATTACTGAATTTACTATATGTACAATGTCCCTCTGCTCAGAATTATTTTTTTAAGAAACTCAGCTTTGTTGACAGCACAGGTTCAATCCTAGAACAGTATAATAATGCATGATTTATATCTTCTTCCTTTCTATTGCAGAATTTACATCTGGCATCTTCTACCACTTTCCTGACCAGTAAATTTTTGAGTGTTGGCAACCCATTGTGGCAAACTCTCCATGCAAAAACAAGTATGTTATGGGGGATTTGCATTTTCCAAATTTTCTTCCACATTTTCCGTTGGTCCTCAGCATAGGACACCTCGCCAAGCTGCCTCACACCATTGTTCTTCACAAACAATCTATATAGCCACTCCGAACTATATAGACACGATTCTTATCTGGCATCTCTAAGGTGAAGCATTCTGGAAACCTTCTCAATATCCCATTGACGAGTGTGCTCATCAATTAGTCGTGATACTGTCCAATCTCTTTGATCTACATTATTTCCATCTGGGTAGCTTAGTAGCCGATGGTTTGGCAACCAGTAATCAGTCTAAATGTTTATCTCCTTTCCATTACCAACTCGCCATCTACAGCCTTTAAATAGCAGTTGTCTTGCCTCCCAAATACCTCTCCATGCATATGATGGATTTGCTCCCAATTTAGCATCTTTAAGGTGTCCATGAGGAAAGTATTTAGCTTTGTATATCTTTTGTAGCAATGATCCTTCCTGTTGCAGAATTCTCCAGCCTTGTTTTGCTAAGAGAGCCATATTAAAAGCCTGAAGGTCCTTAAATCCCATACCTCCTCTTCCTTTAGTGTTACATAACTTCTTCCACCCTATCCATCGTATTTTGTTTTCTTCCTTTCTTTGTCCCCATCAAAATTTTGCAATCATACTCTCTAGCTCTTTGCACAAAGATATTGGAAGCTTAAAATATCTCATAGTGTAAGTGGGGATAGATAACGCAACAACTTTAACAAGAATTTCTCTTCCACCCTGCGACAAAAGTTTGTCATTCCATCCTTGCAATTTATGCCATACCTTTGTCTTTAAGTCTGAAAATACTTTCCTCCTGTTCCCACCCACCATTGATGGGAGTCCCAAGTAATGATCATAATTTTGGTGGTGTTGGATACCCTAAAAATCCAGAATTTCTCTTTGGGTGGTTGCTGACACGGATTTACTGAGTACCATGGCCGTTTTATCTCTGTTCACTTTTTGACCCGATGCTTGTTCATACTCTTCAAGTAATTGGAGTATATGTGTACTGGTCTGGACAAAAGCTTTACAAAATAGGACACTATCATTTGCAACATGAGATAGTTGACCCAAGTAATGATCATAATTTTGGTGGTGTTGGATCCCCTAAAAATCCAGAATTTCTCTTTGGGTGGTTGCTGACACGTATTTACTGAATACCATGGTTGTCTTATCTCTGTTCACTTTTTGACCTAATGCTTGTTCATACTCTTCAAGTAATTGGAGTATATGTGTATTGGTTTGGACAGAAGCTTTGCAAAATAGGACACTATCATCTGCAAACATGAGATTGTTGACCTATGGAGCTCCTCAGCATACTCTAATACCTTCCACCTTTCCTTGATTAGCCGCTCTCTGTGACAGAGAAACCAATCCTTCACTGCATAATGAAAATAGGTAAGGGGATATGGGGTTCCCTTGCCTAATTCCCTTAGATGGGTATATTGGTCCCTTTGGTTCTCCATTAATCAAAATAGAGAAAGACACTGATCTCACACAAAGCATGATCAAATTTATCCATTTTTCTCCAGATCCCATTTTCTCCATCACTAGTTGAAGGTAATGCCATTCAACACGATCATAGGCTTTACTCGTGTCAAGTTTAAGTAACATAAAGCCCGTCTTCCCTTGTCTCTTAGTTTTAAGAAAATGGACTAGCTCATATGCCACAGGTATGTTGTCTGAAATTAATCTCCCTGGGACGAAAGCACATTGTGATTTGGAGATTAAAGCGGGTAGTATGCTCTTTAACCGATTCGCCAACACTTTGGAAATCAACTTATAGATTACATTACCTAGGCTAATCGGTCTGTAGTCAGACACCATAACTGCTTGTTTTCTTTTGGGAATAAGAGTAACAAAAGTGTTGATGTGAACCCAGCCAAGAATTGATCTTGGGAACCTACGAACAAGATGGAACTAACCCAAGAAGGCTAGAAATCACGTCGCGCAAAGATCAACCCGACCCGTTGTTCGACCCTTATCAAGAACCGTGATTATGCGTAAAAAATTCGACTCATTGATTACTCGGAACAAGAATCGTGAAGTGGGAACGCCACAAAAGGACTGCGATCTCCTTTTGATAAGTTCAATTAGATCTTTAAACCACCAATAAAATTGGAGGAATAAATCTCACCAAAGTTGTATAAATCTCATAATAATGTCAAAAGTTGTTTTACAATAAAAAATGCTAAGTGTTTATATGAAAACTAAGGAAACCCTATTTGCCATGAAATTGGGCCCAAAATATCCTAAAAGATACTAAAAGAAGGTAATTGAATCAAACTAGGAAACTAAATAAAAATTGAAAATTTTCACCAGAAAATTGGCCCATGCGACCGCATGGGCAAAACCAATTTACCCATGCAACTTTCGGTTGCTAGCCATGCGGCCGCATGGTTCTTCAACTTTGCCTCCGTTTTGGCTTCTTATTTCGACCGTTTTCCAATCCTTTTCGGCCCTCGGTTCCTTCACGAGACTTGTCCAATGGCTTGTCAACTCCAACAATTTTGAACTCCATAGCTCGATTACATGATTGCATGGCTTCTTTGGCTTGATTCGAACCCCGACTCCTTTCTGAGCTCGACCTTAACTCATCCTCAATGCACTTGGATTCTTTGCTCGTTTGAAGCCTTGTCTGAATCACATCATCCCCTCTCTCTTCGAAAGAATTCGACCTCGAATCAGAACCTGCATCAAACGAAGCAACATTAGGAACCTCAAAAATGTCGACAATCACCAACTTATCCCAAAGAACCAAGCTGTGTCCATCGATCTTGCTAATAACAATGATATGGGAAGGTCCATCTCCTCTAGGATGTAGCATGGATCTCCTTTGAACTCGTTTTCGCCTCGTACACATGATCACCCAACTACCATCACCTGGGTCATACAAGACTCGATTCCATAGCATAGTAATCACTTGCCTTTCACCAAAACTACTAATAACACCAATACATAAGGTCATTGAATTGAACGAGGTTAGTAGATGAAAAGCACTTGTGAAATTGATGCATAGGATGGATATAGTAGACACTAGACCTACTCCTAACACATGCCATAAATCCAATCTAATACATGTAAGGACAACATGATTAAAATAAAGACAGTCATTCACTCAATCAACTATAATGCACCCCAATTGCTTATCATAGGCAATGAACTTCGCGTGACATGTTAGAATTTCATGGTGTAATAAATGCATTTCATAAACAAGTGAGAATTTTCCATACATGTAAGATCATAACCTATCCTAGGTGTAGGGATTTGATACATTACTATAACGTGATTGCATTTACCTTCTTTGTCACACCATTCATCTTCCTTGAGTTCCTACAAAAGAGAATTATCGAAATTGGGGAGGGGCCTGTTAGCTCTCACCAAAGCTCTCTCACACTCGACTTCTCTCGCGTAGAGGCTCACTTTTGAATTTTCTCTCCCCTCTGATTTTTCCATCTATTTTTTCTCATGTGGTTCTACTCTTTTTTTCTCACTCTCAGCCACCTTACTTTCTCTCTCTTGCTCTCCTTTTTCCACTCTTTATTTTTATTTTCTCGCTCACTCTTCAATTTCAGTTGGTCATCTTGGACCTGTTGTGGTGTCAAAGGAACAAGAGTAATTGTTTTTCCACCCATCACAAGGCTGTACCGATTTGGAAAGCCTTCATGCTTCACTCTCATATCATACTGCCATGGCCTTCCCAACAACAAATGTCCCGCATGCAATGGAAGCACATTATACAACACCTCATCATGGTACCGTCCAATGTTGAAATTCACCAAGGCCCTATTGGTAACCCGTATTTCCCCACAA